GTTATACTTCTAAATTGTATCATTCCTGTTGTAATACACACCCTGAGATTACAGTGTTATATACACAGGTCCAAGGTGATAAATATATAAAATTTTTGTAACACCACTGGGAGAGTGGACAACAGATCTGGGCACTTTTTCCTAGTTTAACTACTTCTTGGTTTGTTTTTCCAGTACAACTATTATATGTACTGCATTAACTAATTTAATAAAAACAAATACACAAACTCAAAGCTGTCAAGAAATAACCTTTTATTTGGATTACATACACTATCATTAAGTATTCAGTTAAAAATAATAACTGATAACTTTGTTAGATGGTAAGAGTTCTTTTGACTGAACAAATTAAAAGCTCATATTTCTTTTTTCAAAATACTTGATTTGATAATCAGCCCCTACTGCTAAAAAGTATCTTTGCTCAGAAGGAATAAAAAAATACATGATGCTATGAGCACAGGACTACTTTGTAAGAGTGAAGCTCCAAGTTTTCACTAGCCAAAAGGGACTTGTACATACAATAGATTTTGTTTTCTTTTCACAATGAAACTATCTTACATGGTCAACTATCCTTGATAAGTATGAAACAAAAAGAAAATTCTTAAGTATTGAGTCTAATTTGACATCAATGAAGATTTATGATCTTACCGCCTTTGTCATGGACACTAGAAGTATATTAATAAATAAACTGAAAGATTTTATTTTATAAATAGCCCATACCAAAGCCTTTCACAACACAGTGTACAGAACATTCCAAATCCCCATTCCATTTGTAAATGATAAAATCATCATTTGTGTTGTCTAAACTGACTACTAAAAATGAACCCCTAAAACTGTACTGTGCATCCTAAGAATAGCTTTGAGATAAAACTGAAATTATATTCTTAAACCAGCCATCTTAAAGGTCCCTAAATTTTCAATTTATTTATTATTGTTACAGGACAAGAGTGCAATATGACATTTTAGTTATTATTACTGGAGAAGTGTGGAAGGATGCACATCGAAGTCAGAAGACTACATTTGGAAGTCAAGTCTCTTCTATCGTATGATTGATTCTAGGAATCAAACTCAAGACTGTCAGAACTATACAGCAAGCATTTTTACCTGCTGACATCTCTCTAGCCCTCAAAGTTATTTTGAATGTAACGTTTCATAACAAATTGAAGCCAGGCTCTAAGGTTAATTACTGCAAAAATGAATTTCAAAAATTTTTACTAAATATTACTATATATTATGTTCTTAATAAGGCATTCAAATATCCAAAAACATAAAAAACAGGTCACTATCTTTTTCTTACCTCTGCCTCAAGCTGAACTGTATTGTATCTCCAGACTTCAATGAAAGGGGAAAAAAGTAATAAGAAATTGCTTTAAAAGCCTTTACAACATCTTTATAATGTCCTTTTTATTTTTGATACAGGGTCTCATTTAGCCCAGATCATTCTAAAACTTGTTACGTGGCTGAGGATGGTCTTGGACTCCTGGTCCTCCTGCTTTATAATCTCTTTTTATTGTAAGATTCTTATCAGAAACACACACACAAGAAAATAAGAGTCACAGTGACTCATTATTGTGAATTTTTCTCTATAACTTAGAAGTGTCTTATTTTTCCAACCTATTTGCAGAAAGTATTTGATAAAAGGTGACAGACTAGCATCAAAATGTAGCTGTTTTCTGAAGGTCAGTCAATCATCTGGTTTTAGTAAGAATGAAAATGTAACAAAACACAATGAATCATACAGAGAACTCAAAGAAAAACCAAACCAGCTATCTGAAAAAGGCACGACATTAAAAGGAAGAACAAGGCACAAAGCTTTTTCTTCTTAGAGCTCAGATGACTGGAAATGGCAGGGCTCGTTCTTGAATAAGCAGAAAGGGCAGAGAGACATGCCTATCAGGGAACACCTGCTACCACAAAAAAAAAAAAAAAAAAAAAGGACAGTGACTATCTATCCAGTAACTGCAGTGCCAAAGCCCTGTACAGACTGTACAGACTTTCCATCAGGAATCCTGATTAGCCTGACACTGGCTCTCAGCAAAAAGGAAATTGGTGGTTGTCATTATCACTGATGCACTGAAACCATGAAAGCCACCTCTAGAAAGAGAACAGAGACTATGGTGACAGGCTAAGAATTCAACTCAAGAAGTCAGAAACTCCTTTTGCATTTCCCCAAAGAGGGAAGGGTGAAGAGAGGGTAACGTCTAGAATGTCTGCTTCTGAGTACCAGAAACAACACTGTATGTATGATGTATGTCATCAAAGCTGACTTAGCATACGCCCCAAAAACACTACCACTTTAGCAGAAGCCGAAATAAAATAAAAGTGGACAAAGCACACATGAGAAGGTGAGAGAATAGCTAAGTGTAAAGCACGGTCAGGAAATACAGGTTGCAGAGACGTTGTAATGAAAAAAGCATACTAAGGAAGTACCTAAGCGAAGGGAAAGCACACGTCTAAGATGACCACAAGAGCAGACTGAAGGCAGTCTGACCCTGGGTTACAAAGTTAATTTCATGATATGATCAAGACATTTAAAGTTGTGTGGGTTCCACGTCCACCTCACTTGACTGTCCATCTCTACTCCTCCATTACAAAGTGTTGAACTAATCCAGATGACAGTAGCTGAAAGGCAAGTAAACCAAAAGTCTGAAGCATGATGACCAAGGAGAATCCAGTTAGGAGACTCCACCAGTTTCTCACAGGCCATCCAGAGTACAACAAAGATTCATGTGCTAAAGTGATGCCATGATCCTTCTTAGCCTCTCAGGGTCTCACAGAGTCTCTCCAAATTCTACCATAATTGGGCACTTCTTATCAGAAAGCTTAATGAATTTAGGTGGAGGAATAATGAGGCAATTGAGGCGAGGACAGCTGAATCAGTAAGCATGATAGAGAACAGAAGATTTAGGTGAGTGAAAGCCGATAAACAGAAAAGGGAAGAAAAATCAAGTATTCTGGGCTACAGGTGAAAGAATGGGCCAAGAATGACAAAAATTATAGAGTACAATGCCGATTCTGGTTGAGGTAGATCACTAGGGCAACAGCATTCCGAATCAATGGAAACTCACAGAGGGTGTGGCTGAAGTGGGCATGGAAAATACACATACACGCACACATATACAGAGAGAGAGTGCGCACAAATTTTAATCATAAAATATTTCTAATTAAGAAAGAAATGAACCCATAAAATTAATCCTACTTCCTGGTAGGAGTCTAGCCAGGGACTGATTCCTAGAGATTCTTTTCTTCCTTCACCAATACCCAATGAGTTAAGCAATGGAATACTGAATGGCACCTGCTAGAGAATAGACCTCAAGTTCCAGATCAGTTTTCCTCTTATGATTTGTATTAACAGGAAACACGATAGCTGGAGGCTTGAGTTACAAAAGAGAATATCTAATATTCTTTAGGAAAGAACTCACTATCTCCCCTAGCCACCTTTTTATATTTGGGAAATACATTTCTAAAACTGTCTGGAATCTTAATAAATCTCAAAAGTAGTAAAAAAAATAAAACAAACTGCTTTAATCTAGGTTCTCTGCAAGGCATAATTTTCATAATTTCATGGGTAGCAGACATTAAGTCAATTTATAGGAAACTGCACAAAAAAAAAAAAAAAACCAGGGAGATTTATCTGGCACAGTAAGACCCAATACTAACAGTGCTTTATAAATTAATAATTTAAACAGCACCTCTACCAACAGAGGGGACCACTAAAACATGCTGGCATGTGAACCACATCCATTTTATTCTCAGATGAGAAATAATGAAGCTATTTTCTGAATTTTGGTGAAAACTCATCCAACTGTTAACTGTAAAGTAAGACTAAGAAAATACTCAGCCCAAAACACAAATCAATGCATTTCAGATGTTGGCTAGGCCAAGAGATAGGTGTTACTTTATCATCCACTAGCAATGCCCTGATGACTTAAAATTGATTTCTAAATTTTTGTTTACATTCACAAATGCGGAGGGTAAGTAACCTTGATTCCACAGTGTTCTATGGCTTGCAATTCTGAGGCGTTGGCTTCATGAAGATGTTCTGACCCAAAATTAAACTGTAAGCCCCGCCTGCCCAAGCATTCTTCCTGGATGCTGGAGTTCTTAGAAAATAACAACAAAGCTACATGGAAAAATACGGTGGCTGAGCAAATGATTTTATCCATAAAAAGCCTTATAACATGTGTCTGGGGCCACTCAGCTAAGAATTTCAGGGAATGGACCTGGCCAGAGTCTATCTACCTGGTCAGTATTTAATATTTAATAAAGCTTGCTTCAAATTTGGCTCAAAATGGCAGAATTGGTTTTTCTCTTACAAATCTTAGGATTAACCAAAAAACACTGAATGTTTTTGCATCCCAGATGTGAGGGATGTATTACTAATCATGTTTCAGGTTTTTGGTTTTGTCACCATAAAATTCAGAATAAAACTTTTAGTATCATCGTGATAAGCACATGAAAATGTATACTTTCCGTATATCTTTCAATTTTCTCATATGCTTTCAACTCTCAGCATCCAATTATTTAGTTTTCTTGTTTGTTTGTTTTCCTGATCCTGATATCCCTCAATTTATAACATCACTTTGTTTCATTTATTTCTAGTTAGATTCAGACAAACAAAAAAAGCATTATCAATATACTTAAGCATTATCAATATACTTAAAGCTCTAGGTTAGCACCTTGCTTTCTATTACTCTTTACTAATCGTGTGTGTGTGTGTGTGTGTGTGTGTGTGTGTGTGTGTGTGTGTGTG